ACCCTGGCACGCAGCGTCCGTGGACGGCCTCGTCGGTGCGTCAGCTGCGCACCCCTCCCCCTCCCCCCTCCGCGGCTGCGTACCGTTGGCCGTGCGCCAACTTAGCAGTCTTTGTTTACCGTTCGCGGCGGCAGGGTCTGCCGTTTGCGCGGCGGCAAGACTCGCGACTGGGAAACTGGACGCGGCACACGTGTTCGCGACCGGCAAACGAGTTTTTCTCTCCGCGTCATCTACGCCGCCAGGGCCGTACCAGGGTGGCTTTGTCCGGTCCGGGAGGGTGGTGGCTGCGCGCAGTACGCCTGAATGGGTGTACGCCGGCTTCCAGGCATGGTCAGGAAAGCCATCTGCATAGTAAATGGGGAAATCATACGAGACGCAGCTAGACTTACCATTTTTGCTCAGCATTGTCTGAATCGCGAGGTACACTTGTGTATAACGAACCCCTTCACATTTGACCTGAACTGTGCTCGCTGTTCCAACCTGAAGGTGTTTGGCTCCAGCGGCTTCACGAGTTGGCTGAGCGGCAGGGTCATGTGATCCAGTGCTGGGAGAAGACGCTATGGCGAGCCAGAGGTCACGGGTGAGGTTTGGCTGCTTGCGGATGGTCTGTTTAGCACATGGAGACCGGACCAGCACAGGGAGGAGTCAGCATATGCGCTCAGGGAGACCCAAACTGGGCACGGCCAGGGCTCGACCTCAGCGCCGGCCGGGAACCCGGCGACCTGCGCGGGGCACGACGCGTGCCGCAGGGAGAGACGCGCTGCATCGGCCGGTGGGGCCGGGGGGCTTGCCCGGCTCCGGGGCGGCCTGACCCGCCCACCTCCGGTGATGTCTGCCGACGAGCTGCGCGGCAGGGACATGACCGTCCCGGCGAGAACCGGGTCGTACCGGATCGGACCGGATCCGGCTGGAGGCGCGCCAAACGGCCTGACATCACCGCCGCGGGCTGCACCTGGGAGTCGGGTCTGCCCATCAGCCGGTGCCCGCTGCGACCTGTTGCCACGCCGAGCCGGCCGCTGCTGCCAACTGAGGGTGGTGGCGTGGGATGCGGATGCTTTGTGGCCGCTGGCGATTTTTCCGTGTTTGCTCTAAATATCACATGTGCCCCTTGAAGCCTCCTCGGGCGCACTGTGACACACAAGGCGCCTAGTCCAAACCTGTTTAACATAGCTCACGGACGATTTTGAGGAGGAAAGAAAGTAGTCAGACAGACCTCCCATATCGCTTCCTGAATCGCAAATCTCCGTATCATCTTTCAAAGACACATGCCGCATCCAGGGCAGAGCCAGAATCATCAAAATGCAATGCGGCTGCAATTGCAAGAAGGCCGCTTGTGTACTTTACGATCGGGATGGTTTACTGTACGACACCGTAAAATCAACAGTTTTGGGGAGCAGAAAAGCACTGCGCAAGAAACGAGCAGTTTGCAATGGTTGGACTTCGACGAAACTATTCGTCAACAGACATCGTGTATCTTATTTGGTCAGAACAAGCCACAGACCACTCAAACCAGCGGTTGGACAGTGTTTGTATTTACGTCGCTATCAATAACGACTTAGCATTTTGCTCCAAACTGTCCAAATACGAGCATGTTTGTTTCCTTAATGTTGCGCGGCTGCTTTTTCACCTTTGTGCATCTGGTTACAGCTTAATTTCTCAAATTTGCATTATCCTCCTAAAATTCCTGTTTTCCACACGCTTCGTACTGTATATGTGCGTACATAATCTATCCTATACATAATTGCAATTCAATACGTCGGGACACATCGCTCGTCATTGTCACACATAACACGCACGATAAGACTTACGATTCTTATTCAGCCAATCACTTACGATTGGCTGTTTCACCAATGTTTCCTGTCCCATTTTCAAGACCATTTGGACACCGCGCATCTGCTCCGAGCTATGATTTAAATTGGTAGACACCTAGTAGCCACCACCTGTTAAGCATTTACGTTGGGGCCGACGCAAATTTGGAATCGAGTTGCGTTCGGAAAAGCACTCGGTTTGTTTTCTCGGTGCGTCTCACGTTAAGTGTTTCTGTTTCTTGCTGTTTCTTGAGCGTTCGTTCCCAGCCATTTCTTATGTGTGCCCGTTTGTAAATCGCATTTACAGAAGACGGTATATAGAAGAAATGATATATGTGTATACAAATCATTTTACATATATATGTATGTATATTATTTGCGTATGTTCATGTATATATATATACATATACATATATATATATATATATATATATATATATATATATATATATATATATATATGTATATATATAAGACGAGAAGCAACAGACTGATAATTGGATTCGGATTTCGGAAACATCCGAACAGAATGAAAAAGTGTAACATGTAAATGTGTCATCAGCCGAGATGGGTTTGCATTCGCCAAGTCTGCCCTACCGAAATGGCTCATTGCTTGCAAACGTGTGGTTTATTGCAAGCTATAGCATTGCTGAAGGCGGGCTGAGGACACAAATTAACACAACTAAAAATAGCTTCACTCTGAGAACTGTGAGCCATGTACGGAAATAGCATAGATGTCGAGTGTAGCGTCCTTTTGAAGGGCTGGCGTGGACGCAAAGTACGACACTTGTAGTGAGTAAAAAAAATATTGGGCTTAGATTTAATCGTTACAGTTATCCGCGACCACATTCTAGAATTACACACCGTCGTTTTGTACCTTAGCTAGTCTAGGCCATTACTTTTCCCTTCCCGTACCATTAGGTCAATGATTGTGTGACATTCAGCGATTTAATATGCCATAATGCAAGACCATTCGGTGCAGTTTTTCTTTCCTTGGCATGACCTGGTGGCTGCACGCCAGCCTCCCCCATTTCAGACCGCTGGGTTTCTCGGAACACGATGCTGCTGTTGTCAGGGCAGAGGACTACGCTGAACCGCATGACGCATCCCTAGCCAGTGCTTCACTTCCAGCTAACAGACGAGACCAACTGAGACGCGCCCTCCCAAAGCCAAACGGCGCTGACGCACGCGACGCGGCCGTTAGCTACCGGGGAGGAGTTTCGCCAGCCACCAGACGCGATTCGTTACGTCTCACTGTGCATTCGGTGGAGTCTCATCTGAGAGGTTCGAGATGGAACACTTGCCCTTCTCCTCCACATTGCCCACCTTCATGTTGGAGACGCGACTTTCGTCTGGAAGGGAGCACACTGGCTTTGGTCGGAGTCATTTCCATTGTAATCACAGGTTTTCTCCCACACAGCACCCGTCTGCGCTTGATTCGCCTCTGGGCTGCGTTCGTCGCGCTGGTCGGACCCGCGGCGATGTTTGCTGCATGGACATCGTCCATTCATTGTTTTGCTGTCCTCCCAATCGCGCTAGTCAGAGAATCTACAAACACTATGTGGTTACCGCATTTTCAGTAACCCATGGCCGGCCTCCTGGAGCATGGGCCTGATAATGAAAGCCGGCTGGTGGTGCCCGCGCCCGTACGAAGGCGTGCGGTACGCGTAACACGCGCCGGTGCGCCGGCGGCGCTGCTGCCGGCGTTGTGCGTGTCCTCGTCAAAAAGAACACGAAGTGCTCGAATTTTAGTCTTGTTCTGCGCGTCTGCACCATGCCCCTGACAACCTCAAAGCGTACGTTGCCAGGCGACCAGCGATGTTGGGCCGCAGGCACATTTGGCATATGAGTGGTGCGTGCCGCCACGGGCCTGTTGTCTTGGGATTGACCGCTGGCTGCGACGAGCTCTGGCGGCGCGCCTGACGCAGGTGACTGACCCCTGCCGCTGGCAGCCCTCAGTCATCAGGAGACCGTCCGGGCGCCCGGCGTTCGGTGCAGGTGTGACGCAGGTGTTCGCTGGCGGCGCGGGACGCTTGACTCGAGCGTGCCAATGACATTGATGGGCCGTGTACGGGCATGTGGCAGCTGTGCTGATAGGAGGGGGGGGGGGGCAAATTTGATCGGTGCTTTGTGTTCATAAGACACTTTGATATTTGGATATGGGGCTAATTTCAGCCCTGTCTTGTCCAGAAATAAGAGATAAAGACTAAGGAAGTTGGCTTTCTTTTCGAAGAGCCTGCTATTGAAAAGAAATCCGAGATGTGGGGGCGTGCGAAACACAATCACCGACTTACACCCGCAAACAGCTAAAACTGCTTTTGTCGTTAACTGGAGCGAAGCTGAACAAATCAGCCCAATGATACACATGTTCTAGCATATAGCATGCCGTACTGTATTCGCCATGGCCTGCACACGAGGGATGACCACAACGTGTATGGAGGGTCAAGCCATTGTCGTTTACCCGTGGAGACCATCCTATATAATGAGCCAAAACACCTTGCTTTTGGAGGATATCGTTACGCCCGCCATCGTCCATCACCGCGTGCCTGTGGCGTATCCATGGTAACGGTCCGTCACGCTGGTCGCTGGTAACGGTCCGCGCTGCGACAGCGCGCCGTGTTTACGCTGCGCACCGGAAGTCTGCGATAAGTCGGCCGAAGTGCCGTGCCTGCCGTGTTCGGTCCAACAGGCGACAGCCTGCACTGTGTCGACGGTTCGTGCTCTGCTGATGGTCGGTGCCGTGCTGTGCTCCGCTGACAGTTGGTGCCGTGCTGTGTCCCGCTGACAGCCAGTGCAGTGCCGACGGTTGGTGCTCCGCTGACAGTCGGTGCCGTGCTGTGCCCTGCTGACAGTCGGTGCCGTGCTGTGCCCTACTGACGGTCGGTACAGTGCCGACAGTTGGTGCTCCGCTCACAGTCGGTGCCGTGCTGTGCTGTGCTGACAGTCGGTACAGTGCCGACGATTGGTGCTCCGCTCGCAGTCGGTGCCGGCTGTGCTCCGCTTCGGTGCCGTGCTGTGCTCTGTTGACAGTGCAGTGCCTACGGCGGGTCCTCCGCTGACGGTCGGTACCGCGTTGTGTTCCGCCGACAGTCGTAGTCGTGTTGTGCTCTGCTGACAGTCCGTGCCTTGCTGACGCTCGGCGCGCTGCCCACAGCTGGCACTGTGTGCTGACGCTCCTGGTCCCCCCGGCAGGGTGCGCAGCTGGAGTCTGGAGGCGCGGGGATGCGCGGCCGACGAGGAGGCGGCTTCGGCCGTGCGCGCCGACGAGCTGGAGATGGTGACGCCGCTGCGGCACGCCCTGTCGGAGCCGTCGCTGGTCACGTCGGCGTCGACGGCGTCGATGCCGATCTGCCGCATCTGCCACATGCCGTCCGAGGAACGGGCGGAGCTGATCTCCCCCTGTCGCTGCGCCGGCACCATGCAGTACATACACACCGCCTGTCTCATGGTGGGTGCAGTCGGTCCACGTGTCGCCCGGGTCGCGCTTGGCTGGTGTTTTGAAACAGCAAGCGGGGCTCGCGCCGCCGCTGGGGCGTTCGGTTTGCGGCAGCACGCTGCTCTCGCGCCGGGACGTCGACGTATTCTCACTGTCGATCGCTCTCCAGCTTGAAACAATGGGGTTGGGGTGATGTGCACGCGTGACACAGGGTTAAGCACGGCTTATCGGCGGGCAGACCTATTCTGGTCCAGAAAATAGGGCATGCTTTCTGGTGATGGATCTAAGACTAGTACGTTGCCCACCTGTTCCATTTTTGTAGAAGTGCTATCGCTCGAAATAGGACTAGTACGCTACCCACTCGTTCAGCTTGTACGGAAGCGATATCGCTAGAAATTTAAAAAAAAAACTTATGTATACGGCAGGCATCTCCCTGGCAGCGCCCAGCGTCAGTCCGTCGCTGCCCCACATGCCAGATAACCGAGACATGTTTTGCACTGGTTTGCATTGCCGACCGCGGCCGTCCTGGGAGCGGACGATGACGCCAGGCTCTGCCGACAGCACTGGATCGAGGTGTCCAGTCGGCGGGCCAAGCGGCCACCTTGCTGCGAGCTGTGCCAGTACCAGTACCAGCGGCATAAGCGGTTCCGCGTCGGCCGCTGGCTCGTGCCGGCCGTCTCCACCCGGGACAAGCTGCTGCACGCGCTCTTCGTGATCACTGCCATCGTCATGGTGACCTGCGCCGTCATCACCATCTTCTGCTTCAAACAGGCACGTGAGACGCTGATGGCATGTGATGTTAATGCCACCTGATCAGAGCTGTCAGAGATACACTGTATCGTTTGTCGGGCTCCAAAAGGGTGAAGAGTGCTTCTCCTCGCACGGCAGATGTGTCTGTGACAATGTCCCGCGATGGACAGGCTGACAGACACGTTTGCACTTGGTCTTGGCGTGGCGTCAGCTTCTGCACTCGTCTGGGCAGTCCCTGAACATGCAGGTCACGGCCTGTTCGTGGCAGAGTGCTCACCTGGTTAGGATTCCCCTCGGCTCCACCTGTCTGGGCAGTCCCTGAACATGCAGGTCACGGCCTGTTCGTGGCAGAGTGCTCACCTGGTTAGGATTCTCCTCGGCTCCACCCGTCTGGGCAGTCCCTGAACATACAGGTCACGACCTGTTCGTGGTAGAGTGCTCACCTGGTTAGGACCCCCTCGGCTCCGTCCGATGCCACTTGTGAGAGGAGATCCCTGCGGCGTTCTGAAGCGGAACGAATGCGCTCCGTGTTCGACGTCGTCATCCGATGTCGGATGACATAGCATCAGATTGACGCCCTGTCATTGGACGGAAAACGAGATTTGATGTATGTGGTTACTTCAAAGGCAGTTTACACGCGAACGAGGGCATTGGGTCTGATGAGAAGAGGGCGGGGCGACGGATAAAGGAGTGAGGCAGTGTTAAAGCCAGCGCCAGTTGTGGGGTGCGTCCTGTGCGCTGCGGGCTCATATATGATTTACGTACATACATTTCTATTACTATGTATATGTATACATCTTTCTATGTATTAATATATAAGTATATTATGCAGTGTGTGCGAAAGCGTTCTATTCTATGCGTCTCCATCGGTTCTATCTGTTTGATATATATCTGCATATATTTGCAGATACACAGCCATTTGTTAGTTGTCTGTTCGGAACATGCGCAAAAAGTTTGTATTAACGGCATGTCTGTATATATATATATATATATATATATATGGATATGGATAGATAGAGAGAAATATATATATATATATATATATATATATATATACACATGCCTGCCGTAGAGATGAACTGTCCGCGCATGTTCCGGACAGACATTTAACATATGGCTGTCTATCTGCAAAAACATGAAAAAATATGTATAACCGATAGAACCGATGGAGATGCATAGAACAGAACGCTTTCGCACACATTGAATGGGGCCTTCACACATCTTTCAATCAATACCCCGAATGGTCAGGCGCCTGACATTACTATTGAGAGCACTAATTGGCGGTCTCAAGGACGTAAACAGCGCGGCTAGGTTGCCAGTGAAATAAACTGACTGCATGACGTACCCACCTTTTGTGCGCTATCATTGGCTGATAACGAAGCTTCCTCGGGCCTTCTGTCGATTGATGTGGAAATGCTGGGTGAAGCTTTTCCTTCGTTAAGAAAAGAGGGTTATTGGAGGCAGCTGGGGGCTCCTGCATGGTAGAGCTCACCCTTGCACTGAGCAGAGCAGAACTGGCTATCGCTGAGCCGTGCTATTTATGTCTGCAGATATACTATCCTGTAACTTAAGACTCGAAATGAAAGGTCAAGGTTTGGAAATATCATTGCATGTGATGCGATAGCCTTTACCACCGTGCCGCCTGTGTTCATGCGTGTACCATGTATGTGTTACATGGAGCTTCCCGCACTCCAGAATGAGGTGGTGCCTCTTCTAACGAGTGGGTCTTGCTTGACAGGATTCGGGAAAGCGGCGGCTGGCGTACGACGAAGCGGAACTCACGTCTAACGAGACAGTCACCTTGGTCTGCGGCATCTTGTTCTTCGCGTCGTTCTTTGTCGGCATGTACTGCGAGATAAAGGCGAAATATTCCATTTATCAGCTCGTAACCCGGGTGTTCTATCTGAACCAGCAGTGGTTTATTGAGGAGTACGACCGCTCGAAGGACGACAAGTTCCGGTGTTCTCCGACAGGTGGCTCCCCGGTATGAGGTGTGTTTGTGTGCGATGAGCCCGTCTATGCGCTGACCGGCGTGGAGGCGTGCCGACTGGCGGTACTTCATTCGAGCACGTTGATGCATTTGGTGCGCTTGTGTGGTGCAGACACACATGCTTTGAGTCGGATAAGAGACCGTTAGCTGCGATGGTTAACACGCGGGTAAACATTGGTGCGCGATACATGCGACCGGCCTATGTCATTGTAAAGCTGCTTGCTCGTAAACTTGTGCAAAATATTAACATGCGACATGTATCGGCTGGGCACGCTTGAGGCTGTCGGTCATTGTTGTATGTGGCAAATGGAAACACCTATTCGTCAGGTGCACAGTGGTGCTTTTCGCTGCCATTAGGCATGGTGCATTGCCATGTTGAGCCATGCTGCCATTTTTGAGCAGCTCGCTGGTCTGTCTGTTGAGTCCGAAGTGTACGTGCAGCACTCCTCTGATAATGCGTTGAGCACTGAAACGGTGCGTGGAAGCTAACAGCGTAATCGTTACCGTACAGCGTGGAACAGAGTATGTTGCACAAAGTACTAAAGCGCAGGCCTTCGTCATGCAGTTTGTGGTCAAATATCGTTTGCAAGCGTTTAATGCATTGCTGGGCTGTCTGGCCACGATATTTTGGCAAAGGCCTAAACATGGGGTGATTTCGACTCTGTCTGTGAGTCCACTGTCGTGACGTTCATCTCTTGCAAATAATCGATGCCATGTCACGTTAGTATGGGGTCGTCACGTTTTTGCGTCATTTATGCCAGTTGTATCGACTGGCGTACATGATCGCAGCTGTGACATCGTCTTCGCGGTTGTTGTCGTGCACAGAGCATTTCATCATTCGATGCAACGTTCAACCATTAGAAGCATAAGATGCCCGTTGGAAAATTGGTTGATGTGTGCTGTTGCGTCTGTTCACTGCATCAATTGCGACGTATTTATCATGAGTATCATACTGTCTCATCTGTGATTTTGTGTCATAAGACAATAAACCCACCATACAATATAGTACATACGTCTGTACAGCGTGGATGCGACTGTAGACGACCGTGTTTCGCAGATCTTGTGCGGATGGATAACATATAAGGATGGGGCTTCACCAGTATGTGACGCCTATGAGGTCGAGCACATGATCTGGACTCGGCTTATAATCTTCGATGCGGATGTGAGAGGACGACAGAATCACGCGAGAGGCCGGCCTCTGGCATTTTGTTTTTATAGCGCTTTGCCATTTCATCAACGGAAACGATTTAAAACTGTGCTCTCATCCTAAGCGGTGACGTCGGATCGACCGAGAAATTTGAACGGATTGAACTGGGATAAAAGTTATTTCACCTCGGTTTACCAAGTTCTTCAATCAAATGCTACATTTTCCTAGAGTTGGCGACCGCCCATCCCCACCATCTATTTCCACCGTGGCCACCAAGCTCCGAGGCAGTCTAGATAAAGATAACACAAATGGAGGTGCGTCCCCACTTAAAAGGGCGCATGATCCCAATACCCCCTCCCCTTCCCGTCCCACCTCTCGGATCCAAACTTCATGCCAGCAAAATTGGTAAGATCTGGCGGTTGGCTACATTAATTCACATGGATGTGGAAAAATTTAGCTCAGAAAATTGAAGTTGGAACAAAATTCGCCACAAACGTGACGCGAATAGGCTTTCAATTACGTCGTCTCATCAGCTGTTTACTAACCACCACCCATCCTTATCCAATTTCGAGAAGAGAAATGAATTACGAATACCTTGAGCTTGCCTGCTGTGTGAACTTCTGCCGCGGCCGCGGTTGTAGGTGGGGGGTGGGTCGGTTGCTGCAGTTTCAGGTCGCGCAGTTCAGTTCAAGCATCTGCGCGTAAAACTGTTATAGAGGTAAGAGGTTCTCGTTCCATTTAGATACACCATATTGTTGGCAGCAATCTGAACCGTGACGTGTCGTGCTGATGTTTTTGTCCCGTAGCAGTCTCATTGTATAATTTTGACACTAGTGCTGAATTAAGTGTGTTCGATGGTGACAGGACTTGCACGTTGTTATCAGTTTGCAACAAGCTCTAGGGGTTAAGTTATGTAGTTATGTGCTTGGGACATAAGCTACCCAAATTGTGACTGCAAAATTGGGTCCCTGTATTAACTTTGTGTCAAAAACAAGCGGGTTTTTAGGTAAATAGGTGGATAGGCATCAGGCTGCTATTCTCAGCAGTGAATTTTTCTCTCAGGTTCACTGGGCCAACCCCACATCATGATTGAGTGCATTATATGAGCATTCCAATGCTCTGATCTATCCTGTGCATTTGACCACGTGCAGTGCATGAAGCATCTGAAAAATGCTTAGACATTTGCTACTATGTGTTTACCTTTATAAAGAATACAGGGTAATCTGTGCTAGTGTGACCTTCAGTGTGTCTTCATCTGGCTCACTTCAGCCAGAACATGCTGTCCTGTTACTTAAGTTGGCCTGTTTTGTTCTGGCAGTTGATAGGTAGCTGCCCTTACTTTGTGAGATTAAAAAGGGGTGTGGGTGTCATCATGGTCTGGCTTCCTGACATTGGTGTGCATAATTGTGGTGCAAGACTGGAATGCACAGAAAGATGCAGTCTTATGCATGGAATGCACGTAAACATGCAGTCTTATTCATGGAATTCACACAA